TTTCTCATATGCCTATGTGGTAACCTTTTATTTTAATTTTAGTTGACATTTACCCTGAAATTGATTGTTTGTGATTCGCAGGATTGGCATTGATTACGAATCATGACCGTATTGGACTCTTCATTGCAAGTGCATACTCCATATATTGTGTCTGGAATTATGTGGGGTGGCTCGGCTTACTTCTTGGCTTGAACTTATCATTTATATCGAGTGATGCTCTGTTATATGTGCTGAGGAATATTGCCAACGACCAAAGAACGGCTAACGGCTGCTCAGAACAAGCCGCCGGGTTTCAAGGCCAACCGTCATGTTCACCTGATGAGCATTTTTCACCTGGTGCTGGTGCAGCTGGTCTACGGGCTGATCGTGGCCCAGGTATACCCTCCACCAGTGGATCTGATTCGGAAATCACATCTGAAGATGAAATTGTCAGATTACTGAATTGCAAGGATCATTATGATGCACTGGGTTTGGCTCGGTTTGGAAATATAGATCTGTTGGTTATCAAGCGGGAGTACAGGAAAAAGGTGAATGTCCGAATAGCTAATAAATCTATTCTCTTAAGCGTTGTATCACTAATTTGGCGTTGAAGTTCATGATTATTCACTCGTTATGTTGATTAACACTTGGCAAAATGTAGACATGTTAACTTAAGGGTACCGACATTTTATTTTATTTTATTAACCAGTCAAGTTTTTACTTGTCAGGCAATGCTTGTACATCCTGATAAAAATATGGGCAATGAGAAGGCTGCTGAAGCTTTCCAAAAACTTCAAAATGCTTATGAGGTGTTTTGTCTTTCTTTTTCTTTTTCTCTTTATTTATTTTTTTCTTAAATATAACGTTTTAGATTGTGATTAGTGGATGTAACATGGGTTGGTTTACGTAGGTTTTACTGGATGCTTCTAAACGGAAAGAATATGACGATGAGTTGAAAAGGGAAGAGCTGCTGAATTATTTCCGTAAACTTCAGAATACTTCCCCTGAGGTTTGAGCTTTATCTCACTTTTTCTAGATAGAACTTCAATGGATTTTGTAATCTGCTTGTATTTTGTCCAGTATACATTTGCATCTATCATTATATAAAAAAAATAACCTTTTTACAAATTTAGAAACATTTTCCCGCCAAAATCATTAAATATATCCTACATATAGTAATTGTTGGACAAATCTGAATAGGCAAAAAAAAATCGGCTCATTAATTGTATAAAGATTTGTTTCTCTTTTTCCTGTATTTTAGTTTATCAAAACCGTTGTTTGACGATAAATATTTGTTTTTCTTTTTCCTATTTTTAGTATAAATCTACACGAGCTTATCTCTTCTGTTATAAATATTTTTAGCATACGTCTCACGTGTTTAAAAAATCTCATCCTTTATCTATACACATTTGAAAAAATAAAATAAAATAGAAACCAATTAATAATTACTACTAGAAATCCATTATCTTTAAAAAGAAAAAATAAAATAAAATAGAAACCAATTCATAATTACTAATAGAAATCCATTATCTACTTTAAGAAGCTAATTTTCATCGGTCTAATTACTAATATTTTTACAAATATTATAAGCTAACCATACAAAAAAGTATAATAATAATTTTGAAATGGTGTGTAATCAAATTTTTTTATATTCTCTAATACAAAATAATTTTACATTGTTTGACCACAAATCTTTAATTTATAATTATTAAGTATCTTTAATTTATAATTATTATTTTTTTCTTTCTCTTTTTAAATAGGATCAATAGTAGTTTCCACTTCCGCCGTTGAATGACTCAAACTCGAGGTCTATTTATAATATTGTTAATTTAATATTGTTCCCGTGCATCGCACGGGGTACACACTAGTTTTGTAGTATACTGAGGCAGTAAGAGGCCACGTGAGAATGTGTAGCCATATAATGAATTAAAACTCTGCCAGCGATTTATCCCATGCAAAGTTTTTGTATTATACAAGGTTAATAACTCAATAATGATTATTTATTTTACTGAAACTGCATCCATGGACTGCCTGCTTATATCAGGTCCACTGTGATAATATCCTGTACTTGCTTCAAATTAGCTGGGTGTTTGTTTTAATTGAATTGTTTGAGATGATCCAGTTTAGACTTTGCTTAAGCTTTGCTTTATTACGATTCCAGAATAGAAGCCATGGGATATTTAGATCAGGCTTTGGTCGCTCGGAAGCTGACAGTGAGGACCCACCTGGTGAGTTAAAGCGGATAGCATGCAAGAAGTGCGGCTTTTTTCACACTTGGGCTTCTACCAAGAAAATTAAGTCCAAAGCAAGATGGTGTCAGGTATTTTATCTATCCATTGGATTAAGGATAAAGTGTGTAAAAGTAGAAGCGAAATTGGAGTCACGAATTTAATTAATAGTCATAAAGCAGAAATCAACATTTGATGACACTGGAAACTAATTTTTCCAAGCCACAGTCTAGAATTATGATTATTCCGGCTTCTGATTGTAGTAATTTCTTAATTTTGTTATTGAAGGACTGTAAAGATTTTCATCAGGCTAAGGATGGGGATGGATGGGTCGAGCAGTCTTCACAGCCCATTTTCTTTGGAATGCTACAGCAGGTAAATGCACCATAAATTGCTGCATATTTTTCAAAATATGCAGATGACATGCTAACACATTGCTACTAATTTGATTCATTTAATAATCACATTCAGGTCGAAGCTCCTTGTGCATTTGTATGTGCTGGAGGCAAGGTTTATGATGCAACTGAATGGTACATTTGTCAGGTAGCCTTTTTTTTTTTTCCCCTCTCAACTTGTTATTTTTGCCTGAACTTTCCTGTATTTATACAAAAATTGCAATTAGCATTCGGAAGTACACTTACAAATATGTTTTCCATTTAACACATTGCACCCTGCTGAGTGACTGATTTTATATATATACAATTGCAAAATTGTTAGGATTTTAGAAAGAACAGTTAGGATTCTTTTCCTCCCCTTAAAACTGCAGATTGAATAATCGAGCACTTTTTGTTTTAAGTTAATTACGATACGGACTCTTAATATAAATTAAATTTCATCTTTTCTGATTGGTACATAGGGAATGAGGTGTCCCGCAAACACTCACAAACCAAGTTTCCAAGTGAACACGAATGTTGTGGCGAAGAACAACAGCCATGCAAAAGGATCATCATCTTGGCAAAGTTCAGGTCAGAGAATGCCAGCTCATAACAACTTTGAGACAATGACAGAGGAAGAATTTTGCGAGTGGCTGCAAAACGCTGTTCAGAGTGGCATGTTTGACAACTTCACTGATGGCGAGAGCCCCTCCAAGACTGGAAGTAGCAATAGTGGGAGTGGCAGTAGCAAGAGGAAGAAGAAGGGGAAGAAGCAATGGTGAACTCTTTTAGCCCCATGGGAAATCTTGTTCCAAGTAGTTTTATGGGTAGAATATAAACTTGAAGGCTCAAATTAACTACTGCTAACTGTATACTGAGACCAGAGTTTAAAATCGTTGGCCTTTGAATGTACCGATTATAAGAGATTGTATAGTATTATGCCCCAATTTTGTTGGAAAAACGCTATAAGCTGAATCCCTAATGCATGATCAGTTGCTTAAATTTGATTTGCAAGAATCCAAAATTTCGAAAATTTCATTCACTGAAAAATTTACAAAACTCCCATATATGCTTAATTTTTGTTGTTCTTTTATTTATATTAGTTTAATTTAATTTTTACAGTACAATCGCCCAAGATTAGAGCTGAGATGTTTGTATCTTCTTTGCACTGGAATTAGTATTTGCTAATGAGGATTTACACGTCCAACATGTGTCCACGAGTGTCATTTGATCAAAGATTTAAGCTGATTTCTTATTGCTTGGCACATTTTTCCCCCATATTTTAGTGATTTAGGCATAAGAGACGAAATATTTATTCTTTCTGATTATACGAATTTTACCAGTCATGAAACGCCTAAACATTGATTATCGAAAATTAAACAATATTGTTTTTATATGATTAGCAGACTTCGAAATTCACAAGTGTGAAAAATGTAAAAATATCTCTCATATTTTTCCCTCCATTCTGCCTATGGTTCACGATATGATGGCTAGACAGCGGGTGATTGTTTACCAATTAAAAAAATAATAATAATAATAATAAAAATAAATTAAAACTCAAATTTAACTCGATTTTTTCTTTTTTTTTTTCGAAACGACAATTATATTATATAAACTAGAAAACTCAAGAGAGTACAAGAGAGTGCCAACTGACACTAAGGAACCAAAAAACCTGGACCTACCCCTTGAAACAACATAAGTGTCCAAAGGTAAAACCTCCAACAAGGAGACGAAAAACAACACCACGCCACAACACAACTCCAAAAAGGAGATAAAATTCCACAAGGGAAACTAAATACCAGACACAGCTGGACTGAACGAATAAAAACAAACAAACAAAAAAATAAACACAAAAGAAGACTAAAACAGTAAAACCACACACACCTAATATACAAACTAGAATTAAACCTCCCCTAAACCTAGCAAACGAACCACACGATCACCATAGCTGACAACCGAGTCCCATCCACAACCAAGAACCTCAAACGAGTAGCAAAACTAGACTTCAAATTCGAAAACTGCGGCAACTCAAACCGCCTAGACGAGTTTTCATCCAGATCTGAACCCAAATAGCTTCGGGATTGGGAAAAAAGAGGGGAAGCACCAAGAAAATGCCGGAGGACTCGACAAGAGACCAAGGAAAGACCACGCGGCTCGCAACCGAGCAGTCCGGCCCAACAGACCCGACCCCCTAGAAGCTAACCCAACACGCGCCTCCATAGTGCTGAAAAGGAGCTCATGAGACCGGGACACCAACATTTCGGTGGGCTCCCGCGGCAGGGCGGAAAACGGCCGGCGACCCCTCCGGAGCCGAGAGGATAGGCTTGGCGACGAGAACCACGGCCAGCCACGATCCCACAGGACTCCGGGAGGGGCGGAGAAGAAAGCCCTAGCCGCGACTCAGTCAGAAAAGCTTGGATTGCGCGAGATTCACTCGCCGGAAGAGGGGGGGCGCCGATTTGCAGATCTAGGAGAAAAAGGAGAAAAAGGAGAGAGGGTTATATCAACCAATCATTCTTACACACCACATCAACTTTAATTCACTATTCTTCACTCACATTATTTTAACTAACCATCACTTCCATCATATTTCTTCTATTTTACATCAAATCAACTTTAATTATTTTATTTAAATATTATTTTAATATATCTACTAACAACTAATCATACCACTTTTTCTTTAAAATTAACTAAATTTAAAAAACAACCCAAATAAAAATTAGTTGAATCCATAAACAATCACCCCCTTAAACACTCCGAAATCCCAGCAGCATTTTTTTTTTTTTCCAAACCACTTTACCTGCAAGAAAACCATCAAGATCTATCAAGGAAATCACCAGGAGCCCATCACTAAATTAACCTTCACTTACATTTTCATAATTTGTGTTCCATTTGAGTAGAGTAATAATANATCTTCACGCATTGAATTGTTGTGCAGCATTCTCTGGGTCCCACCCGGAAATTCAAAGCCAAACTTTTAATCAACTGATTTACTACTCAATACACCATTCACAAGCTCTGTTGCTCCAAAACTCCCAACCCTACTAACCAAACTCCGAACTAAAAGGCCCCACATTGAAATATTCGGCAAGAGCCCTTCACTGATCATTCTCTCAAGATAAACACTCACACCTTCAAAGTCAGTTCTCGCACTAAGCCCGCTTATTAAACTAGTGTAAGCAATCATATCCGGGCCTAGGCCCGTCTTCCTCATTAATTTCAAAATCTCGTTAGCAAAATCGACAAAACCGTGCTTAGAGTAAGCATGCAACAATATATTTAACGTAAAAGCATCAGGCTTTATTCCCTCGATCATCATTTTCCCCAAAAGCTTCCGAGCCTCATCAAGCCTACCGCATGAGCACAAGCCATGCATAATAGTGTTGAACGTTACTAAATTAAACTTCATATTCTTTTGTTTCATTTCACAAATGATCTCAAACGCACGTTGAATGTTCTTGATTTTAAATAGACCGTTTAGTATCTCGTTGTACGTGGTGACATCTGGCGTGCATCCGTGTTTTCCCATTTCACTATGCAAATCCAAAGCCCAATCTACTCTATCTTTGGCACACAAGCCTTTGATGAAGACGTTAAGAGTAACCGTGTTTGGCGGACAATTATTTTTCACCATATTCTCCACAATTTCATAAGCTTGGTTGAACATGGATTTGTTGCAGAGTGCATCTATCATGCATGTGTAAGTTACAACATTTGGCCGACAACCGAAAGACATCATCTTGTTCCATACATCACACGCGCCTGTTAAATCCTCGATTTTCACAAAACCGTCGATGAGTGTACTAAACGTTGTTATATTCGGAGGACACGCGCTTGCCTCCATTTTGTCGAGAATGCACAATGCGTCACTCATTTTTCCGGCCGAGCAAAGCCCGCGAATTAACGTGTTGTACGTGACTTCATTTGGGAAAAACCCGTAAACCGACATTTTACCCAACACCTCACGAGCTTCGAGCAATCTGCCTTTCAAAGACAGCCCCTTTACCAAAGAAGTAAAGGTGTGTGTGTTTGGGTTACATCCTCGCACTATCATCTTGGACAAGACAGCAAAAGAGATCTCGATTTCGCCCAAGTCACACAGGCAATTCAAAATCGTTGTGTATGTCCTGACATTGGGTGAGACTCTTTTTTCAACCATTTCATATAACACCTCAAATGCTTTCCCAATTCTCCTTTCGCGACAATATCCGCCGATCAACGCATTATAAACGGGCACACTAGGAATGAATTTCGATACCAAATCCCTAGCCTCCTCAACTCTACCATATTCACAGAAAAACGACACAACAGTCGTGTAGCTCACGTTGTCGGGCTCACATCCCTTGTTTGACATCTCCTCAAGCAGCTTGCGGGCCCCAGAGAGACTATTATTCTTGCACAGAGCCTTCAGAAGAATATTATAAGTGAACACATTTGGCTGCAGCCCGTCTCTCTTCATATTCCCGTATATCGGGCTTATCATTTGAAACCTGTTCTCACCAAGCAAGGCATCCAGTAGATGGTTGTAAATTCTAACCGTAGGCACGCAGCCGAATTCCCGAACCCTGTAGAACGTTTTCAAGGCCTGCTCAGCAGCCTTAACCCGGCCGTAGGACTTGATAACCGTAATAAATAGATCTTCTGAACAATTTATGCTTTCAAGCTTCATTTGCTGCAGAAGGTACTGCACCCAATCCATTTTGCCCTTTTGCCCGAGTTTTTTTATCATCGTCCCGTAGGTTTGAGGGGTGTGTTTGAAAGAGCCCGAGTTTGAGACTGATTTGAAATAATCCAATGCTAGTGCAATATCATTTTGGTTTGTCAATCTCTTCAAGACTTCAGATTCTTGAATCAAAATTGTGTCTTTGTGATTGGGTTCTTTCTGCAGGTGAGAATTTTGAGGTGGGTTTGTGTTTGTATTTGTGCTGAGGACGAAGGGGATTGAAGGTTTATGGTTTTTCAGCATTAGGGAACACCCCTCTTTCAGTTTCAGATACATTTTTTGCAAATATAAATGAAACTTATATCAGGAAATTTCTGAAACGTCCGATATAACCCATGAACAGCGTCCAAAAAAGGGGGAAACAAATAGAACAGTTGGGATTAAGCTCAGCTTGAGAAGATAAAAACTAAGATGAAGTAAAGAGTGGCAGAAAGCGACATGATAGCGAAAAAAAAAAGGCAGAAATTCGAATTTTTCAGCTAGAAATGGAGTATGCTATTCGAAATTACCTCAAAACATAGTGTGAACTGGAGAAAGGCTTGATAAAAAAAACTGTTGCTATATCGAAAATTGTCGCTTTTGAACGCAGGTGTGCGTCGTTCATTCTCGGTGAACTAAATGGAGAGGTGTGGGACATGAAGATTTGTAGTTGATAAATTTCTCTCAGTTGAGAGTGGCGATTTCTCATTAAGGTGAGTTTAATCTGTAGGTGGTGTTTCGTGTTCGTTTATCGGTTAGCTTGTGGATTTTGGGTCCTCGTTTCTCTGAGTAGGTGCCTGGGTGACTCTAGGGTTTCTGCGAGTGGTAGCAGTTTGGAGTGCGTCGAAGAAGTAGCAGTTTCAGCGTAGTTTTCTAACAATGGAGGACGAATTAGGAAGGAGACTGAGAAGATTGTTATATCCAAATCAGAGGTAAAGGTTCTTGATATGAAAGATGCTAGCACTATCCTTCTCATTGAACAACTGTTTAATTAAAGACACATTCCATCTTCTGCCCCCAATTTCCATTAGCTCCCTTACCGATTGAATACCAGAATTGTTGTTTGTATGTCTTTGAGCAATTCCAGAGATGGTTGATCCAACCCATGGATCCTGCCAAATATTAGTACATAGCCCATCCCCAAACTGAATTTTGAAGCAGTGCTTGTACTTGTCCCTCTCAGCCATCCATGTAGTCCACAACCAGGAAGCACTTTGTGTTACACCCAAGGTTGTGAAAACTGGACCGATCATCGAACCGGTGAAGCTATTAGTTCAATGGATCATTGGTCCGACCGGTGGTTAAACCAATCGAACCGTTATTTAATTTATTAATATTTTTAAATACATAATATTTTATAAATATAGCTAACCTAATTTTTAAAGACTGGTCCGACCAGTCTGTTTGATTAGTTGGGATAATTATATGATTTAAACAATAAACTAAAGACTAGTACTAATGAGCACATTATATGATGATAATCAAAATTTATAGTCATAAATTAAATACTAACATAACAAATCATTAACGTATTGTGAGATGACTTACCAGATTCAAGCAAGAAGATAAAAAGATTCGACCAGGTGAACCTATATACCATTAATCAAAAAACTCAATAAATTAATAGAGAAAAGAGTAGGAAAGAAGAAAAATAAGCAATAAAGTGGCCCTTTTGTCAGTCCCTAAACAGACCCTTTTGTTTAGTTCATTAATCATAGTGTGGATATATGATATATCTTTTCCTTAGTACGCACTCCATGCTACACGGCTCCTGCTTGTTCCACATTGATTAACGTAATAAGTGGTTAGCTTTATAAAAGTGTTGGAACTTACTCTCATTTTCAGGAA